AGTCCTCTAGGCACAGCGCGAGGCCAGGGTCCAGCCTCTTCTGCTGCCTGGGTTCCGAGGGACGGGTCCTTCCTGCAGAGTCATAACGAGTTATTTCTTAGCTTCTTGCTGGCTGGGGACTCGGAATGGAAGTCAGGTACTTCAAATCTTTGTCCTGGCCCTTGCAGGAGAACATGTGGCTCCGTCCCTCGGCGCCGGGGCCGCATCGCTGCCCATTGGGGTGTCTTTCTCCCTGCCCCTGTCCGGCTTGGGGATCTGGGTGGCCTGTAGCGCAGCCTGCTTTTCCTGTGGTCTTAAAACCTCTGCAGCTCTTGCCGTCTCTCTGGGGCCCCCGGGACCAGCCTGCCCTGTCCACGTGTCCCAGAGAGCTCATCAGCTGCTCTCATTTTTCTTGATCTTATTCTTTAGTCTTTGAGTCTTGTGCCCGTAGCACTGTGTTTCCAAGCCCATCAGTTCTCCTATTGCTTTTGTCTGACCCCTACTGAGAGGCCTGAACCCGTTTTTACAATCAGCTGCAGTGTGCAAGAAAGGCAGGATGGGGCCTCCCTGGGCGCAAGGGTTGAAGTCCGCAGCTGTGAAGCCGCTGCCAGGGCCGCCTGCACCCTCGCCCTCCTGTGCTTACACACGTGAAGTAGGTGGTGACAGAAGCGAAGGAGGACGTTTGCAGTAAGATGCGGAATGTGGGCAGACACGAAGCACAGAGGCGCATCTTGGTTGAGACGTGACGGGAATAATGTGCTAAATTGAAGCTGGCTGAAAGCTCAGCAGATGAGAGGAACTTGTGATTAAGACTGACATCAATTTTAAGACTGAGCCACATTACTAAGTTTGGAATTTGCCTTTGTGACAAAAGGACAGTTTTTTTAGACTCTTCATTTGCTCTCAGAAACGTTTTTCTTAAATAATCTGCTAAGAAAGAGAATACTCTTTTCTTGAAATAGCTCTGCGTGTGAACTTTCCGTATCTGCCCGAAGCATCGTCACTGTTTATGCACACAAGAGCTGGGGTGCAGGCCAGAGGTGCAGGGGCGAGGGACCCCGGACTGGGAGCGGAGCACGCGGGTCCACTGGGCACACTGAGGGCCCGTGGGGGTCTGCTGCGCCGAGCGCGCCTCGCCCCGGCGGGCTCTCCTGAAGCTGCAGAG